TTCCTCTCTGATCCTGGCTCTCAGCTACAGGAGAGCTGTGAGAGAGGAGCTGCTGGTCACTGTCTGGTTCTGGTTCACTGTGGTCACTGTCCTCATAAGTAGGAGTCAACATAAAAGGATTGGTCTCCTGCTTCAGTCCAAGCTGTTCTCCCTCCTGAATGCTATGGACGTCCTCCTGTTCCTCTTTAATCTCTGGAGGCTCTGGGTCCAGTCTTGTAAAGCCTGTATTATGTGTCATCATTTTCTCACTGATGCATGAACTTAAAAATGTGATAAAATTAACAAATTCAAATAACAGCTCTCTTTAAACTTTAGAATAAAAAGTAAAAAATTACAAATTAGCAGCAAGTTTATATCAGTCAAAATTAGTACAGTAAATCTTTCACATTCGGCTGCTCCTGTTAGGGGACACCACAGCGAATCATCACACTGAGGATTCGCATGTTGAAATTTGGCATGTTTTACACCAGATGCCCTTACTGACCCTGAACTGAACCCGGGACGCAGCGGCGAGAGCGCTGAATCCTAGCCATTAGTCCATCAGAGACCCCAAAATTAGTACAATAAATAAAATAAAAAATTTAAAAACAATCAATATAATTCTTTTTTATTTGTATAGGACAATAATGATAATGGGATAATCACCTTTATTTGGCCAAGTATGTTACACAAGGAATTTGTTTCTGGTACAGAACTAAGGTAGCCATCTGCGGCACCAGCTCACATGGCTCTAACCATCAGGGGCAGCTTGAGGGGTTCAGTGTATTGCCCAAGGACACTACGACAAATGGACTACAGACACCATAGTTCAAACCTCCAACCCTCTGGCTGGGAGACGACCACTCCCACTGAACCACAGTTGCCCCAGTTGTATGTCAACAACAATCATCTTAGGACATTTAATATAGTAAGCTCTAGAGCTTGTATTATAACGAAAACCCAACAAATCCCCCTTGAGCAGCACTGGGTCACACTGGGGAGGAAAAACTCCTTTTAACAAAAGAAACATCCAACAGACCCCGGCAAAGTTCAAGTCGGAATGGATCCGTATTTTCTGCTTGTGTTCATGTTAGCAGCATGGCTAACCAAAACATTAGAGAGACTTCTTTGTATATTTCACTAGTAGTCACGGTCAGATTTTGACCTGCATAATACTGTGATGACCACCACCAGCCAGTGGGAAAGTTAGGGTCAGCGGCAAGCATCATGGGGGTGCGTAAAAAGTTAAGCGTAAGAGTGTTGTATAATCCAAGTTATTGTGTTTCACTGTTCTTGCTATTGTTGTATTATGGGGGGGCGGGCGGGTAAATAGACTGTTCAGTTCATGCTGTGTGTGGTGGGTTACATCGAGCACTCTGTGATCGTCCTGTTCGACTAGATTGATCGTTGTGTTATGCCTTCGTTCTGTGGATGTGTGTGTGTATGGTTGAAGAAGAGAAAAAATAAAAAAGAGGATACTGACGAAGAACCGGCCGGCTATTGTGGTACTTGGTCCACAGTCAGGATTCTGACGAGTGTTCCGGGTGAGAGTGCACGCTTAGCCAGTGATATAAGGGGGCTTTATCTCCAACGCGCGCTCAGAGAGTGATAGAGCCGTGCGGTGTGCGGAGCCAGGTCGAAACAGTATTAGCAGTACGCCGGTGCTAGCATCCCGCTAGTTAGCTTAGCTGCACAGTTAGCATTAGCTCCTCTCCTCCACGCTGGAGGGCGCTACAATTGGTGTCAGAAGTGGGATTACGCCATCCAGTCAAACGCCCCTATGGAGAGGCGCTTAGGCGAGCTAGAGAGGGAGATTATCGAAAATAATTTCCACCTTGAGCGCTTGAAAAAAAGGATGCAGAGACAGAGAAGGACCCCGTACCGGGCAGATGGCACCAGCGCCCCACAGCGCGCACACCCAGTGGAAGTCTACCACTTGGGCGATCCCCAGCAACCCACCCCAGCGCCAAGCCCCAGCATAAACCTCCTGCCCCAGCCAGCCGTCAAGCTGCCCCGTTACAATGGGCTGACTCCCCTGGAGCCCCACCTTGCCCAGGTGGACTTGGCAGCCCTCCACAGAGGATGGAGCCCCAGAGAGAATGCCACCCGCTTAGCCCTTGCCTTGGAGGGGACCATGCTGCAGGCCCTCCTCGATCTGTCCCCAGAAGAATGGACTGAGCTACCCTCCCTCACTGCTGCCCTTGACCGCCGTTTTGGTCAGAGGACATCAGCCGAACAGAGTAGGGAAGAACTGGCTAGCCGGCACCGCTGCGAAGGTAAGAGCCTGGGTGCCTTCGCTGCTGACCTGCGGCTCTATGTCAGACGAGGGTACCCCACCTTCCTGGCGTCGGCACGTGGTGAGTTGAGCCTCCACTCCATTCCTGAGGGGCCTCGCCCCAGAGCGGCTTCAACAGCATGTCCGGCTGCTGGCACCTCACGACAAGGACAAGGTGCTGAGAGAAGCCACTCACCCTCCAAATCTTACATCCCCTAGTCCAACCCTAGGTGACTAGGCCGTGGGTGAAACACAACTTAGGCACGCTTCTTCAACCAGGATCACAACAGGACCAGAAAGTTAGAAAAACCAAAACTATTTGCCACCCCAATTATCCTTCATTACTTTGCTTCTCCAACCACAAAAAACTTAAAACTTACAATGGCATAGTGCTGTAAACACTTGGCCTTTGAAACAGGTCTGGGTGTCCTGGAAAGAAAACCACTACTTAGTCACTAAAACATCAATTTGGTTAAAATGGGACATTCCCTGTGATTTGATCACCTCAGCGGGGCCTACCTCGGGCGAGGGTGTCTAGTGGTAAGTGGCCAAAACACCCAATGAACTCGGGGCGCACTACTGAAGAAATGTCCTTCAAATTTATCATATTCAGCACACTAATGTTGAGCTCAACAACTAAAAACAAAACACTAGGGCCGTAAAAACTGCACCATTTACTACTGACCATAACTGCGTACACACTACTGAAGGAGCACTACAAAACACCCACATACTACTGAAAGTTTCAAAACATGACAAACAAAATAGGTCTTCTAAAAAATAGACCTAATACCTACTAGATAATCAATACCAAAGGATTGTTAAAGCCCATTAGACAACGTTCTTCAAAATACCTACTGGAGAGTGATAAAACCCAGTAGGCAAAACAGGTGATCTAAAATAGACCTAATACTTATTATCCACTCAGTACTAAAGGAGCAGTAAAGCACATTAGACAGAGTTTTCCAAAATACCTACTAGAGAGTGTTAAAACCCAATAGGCAAAACAGGTAATCTAGAATAGACCTAATACATATTATATACTCAGCACTAAAGGAGCGTTAAAGCTCATTAAACAGAGGTCTTCAAAATACCTACTTGAGTGTTAAAACCGAGTAGGCAAAATAAGTCATCTAAAATTGACATAATACTTATCATCCACTCAGTACTAAAGGAGCGTTAAAGCCCATTAGACAGACTACTTCAAAATACCTACCAAAGAGTGTTAAAACCCAGTGGGCAAAATAGGTCATCTAAAATAGACCTAATACATATTATATACTCAGCACTAAAGGAGCGTTAAAGCCCATTAGACAGAGTTCTTCAAAATATCTACTTGAGAGTGTTAAAACCCAGTGGGCAAGATAGGTCTCTGAACACAGACCTAATACTTGTTATCAAACCAGCTTAGGTACGGTAAAGCCCAACAAAAAAGTAACCCCCTACCTTAAACCACCCGTTGTCACCACCCTGGCCCTAAACTTAACCATCTTGGACTTAGTGCCTAATCCTAACCCTCACACTCAAACCCCTCTTAAGCCCAACCCATATCGCTACCCTGACCCTAACCATTCCATATCTCAGGCCCTAAACACAACCTCAAACCTTAAACCGCACATTCACGTTACCCTGGCCCTAAACCGAACCATCGGAGACTTAATGCCTAATTTGAACCCTCACACCCCAACCCCTCTTAAACCCAACCCATACCCCTACCCTGACCCTAACCATTCCACATCTCTGGCCCTAAGCATAACCTCAAGCCGCACATTCGCGTTACCCTGGCCCTAAGCTTAACCGTCCGGGACGTAATGCCTAATCTTAACTCCCACACCCCAACCCCTCTTAAACCCAAACCATACCCCTACCCTGACCCTAACCGTTCTACATCTCTGGCCCATCCGTGTTACCATGGCCCTAACCTTAACCACTCAGGACTCAATGCCTAAACCATAACCCCTGGCCACCTGACTCAAATTTTGACCAATTCAAACCTAACAAGGTCGAACCCTAATCAAGGACCCAGATTCCATAATTTCAAACCCCCAAACAGGAACATACAACTCCCCATGGGAACATAACATCCTAAAATGGAAACATCAGCTAACCCAGCACCCAAAAACTGAACAAAGCAAACACAACCCACAACATGTACATACAACCACAGCGGACAGAAAAACACGACTCAGGGCAGCACGCCGTTACATGAGCCAGAGTGGCAAGCGTCGGCCCGTGCACTCAACTTTGACCCTCCATCCCAAACCGTATAGTCAACGGACGATTACAGGGAGAGTTGAAGAATTCCCCTAACCTTATCCTAATCTTTAGAAGCTTGCCAAAAGATATCTTCATATGCCAGCAACTTCTGTGCCAGGTGAAAGGGTCTTCCCCAGAGCTGGAGAGGTAGCAACAAAGAGGAACAGACTGAAGTCTAACTCAGCTGAAATGATCTTGTTTTTAAATAAAAATCTTTGAACCCCCCAAATCTCCTTCCCAGCTTCACCAGCATTTTGTACAACTATTGTCATAACAGTCCCTAATTGCACAAGCACTTCCCAATTTGTTCCATATTTTTGTGTTTTGGAAATAGATTTTGTATTTCTATCAATCTTGCATAGGCATATTGTTATTACACACAGTATTTTAAGATGGTACAATCACAATATGACACAAGTATATTATTGTCTTTAAAAGACAAAGTCAAACATTTCACAATGCACATAGAACCTTTATTGTTAAACATACAAAACAGTGCCTTACAGTTTCATGACACCTTGCCCTATATTGTTCAATACAAATGCACAGTTCAGGGATGGCCAGCAGATGTCGCCATGTATGATTGTATCAAATGCTTCGAAACACGGAACCATATCAACACAACTGCTTCATATTGATTCGGTGGTTCAGAAACCTTCAGTGTCTCCATCATTGCTTTCCTGTACTGTCTAC